GATTCCCAAAGGAAAACTTTTAGGAATATTGTAGCCAAATTCCAGAGTTCCCAGGTCAAGGAGAAAATATTGCAAGCAGACAGAAAGAAACAATTCAAATATTGTAGAAATACAATCAGGATAACATAAGAGTTAGCAGCTTTTACATTAAGGGACCGCAGGGCATGGAATATAATATTCGGGAGAGCAAAGGAGATAGGATTACAACCAAGAATTACCTACCCAGTAAAACTGAGTATAATCCTTCAGGAGAAAAAATGGTCATTCAGTGAAATAGAGGACTTTCAAGCATTCTTGATGAAAAGACCAGAGCTAAATAGAAAATTTGACTTTCAAATACAAGACTCAAGTGGAACAGGAAGAGGTAAACAGGAAAGAGAAAATCATAGGAGACTTATTAAGGTTGAACTGTTTACATTCCTGCATGGAAAGATGATATTTGTGACTCATGAGACCTTTGTCAGTATTAGGGTAGTTGGAGGGGAAAACATTATATGTATGTATATATAGAGATAGATAGATAGATAGATAGATAGATAGATAGATAGATAGATAGAGGGCACAGGGTGAATTGAAGATGAAGGGGGTCATATCTGGAGAATAAAATTAAGGGGTGAGAGAGGATTATACTAGAAGGAGAAAGGGAGAGGTAGAACAGGGTAAATTGTTTCACAAAAAACAGAAAAGAAAAGGCTCTTACAGTGGAGGGGAAACAGGGGAAGGTGAGAGGGAGTGAGTGAGTCTTATTCTCATAAGATTTGACTTCAGGAGGGAATAACATACACACTCAATTGGGTATGGAAATCTGTCTTACCCTACAGGAAAATAGGGGGGAAAGGGGACAAGAGAGTAGGGGGATGATAGAGAGGAGGGCAGATTGGGAAAGGGGGTAATCAGAAGCAAATACTTCTGAGGAGGGTCAGGGTCAAAAGAAAGAATAGAATAAATGGGGGAGGGCAGGATAGGATTAAGGGAAATAGAGTTAGTTTTTCCCAGCATGTCTACTGTGGAAGTGTTTTGCATAACTGCACATGTATAAACTATATTGAGTTGCTTGCTTTTTCAATGAGGGTGGGTGGGGAGGGGGGAAGGGAGAAAATTTGGAACCCAAAGTTTTAAAAACACATGTTTTAAAAAAATGTTTTCACATGCAACTGGGAAATAAGAAATACAGGAAATGGGGTACAGAAATCTATCCTGCCCTACAGGAAAATAGAAGGGGAAGGGGATAAGAGAAGGGGAGAGATAGAACGGAAGGCAGACCAGGGAAAGGGGTATTCAGAATGCATGCCATCTTGGGATGGGGGAAGGGTGAGATGGGGTGAAAATTTGGAACTCAAAATCTTGCGGAAGTAAATGTTGAAAACTAAAAATAAATAAATTTATTAATAAAAAAGAAAAAAATTACATACGTATATATGGGAAAGTAAGCATATGGGTTAGTAAGTGCTACTCTTATGGTCACTTTTTTTGAAGTCTTAACTAATAAAATTAATAAATTTCCGAAAAGAAAAAAAAAAGAAAAAGAGATAGGAGAAGATATCTCTTCCACTCCTTTGCAGTGGTAGGAGGTCCACAGGTGTGAAATACTGCACATATTTTACTTTTTAAGATATTTATCAGTTTTTCTGATTTTTTTTCTCTTTTTCCTTTTTTTTTTCCTTTAAAATATTCTTTGTCATATGTGATAGCTTTCTGGGAAAGTAGAGAAAGAGATTCTGGGGAAAATTTAGGCACTATAAAAACAAAAGAAATCAACAAAATTTTATTTTATTTTTTTGCTAAATAAAAGTTAGGTGATTTGCCCATGTTTTGGATGCAGAATTTGAAACCTGGCCTTCTTGGTTTTGAGGCCAGCCCACACAGTCTCTCATTACAAGTATTGTTATTTCAATTTGAAGAGGAGGAAAACAAGTTTCAGAAATCATATATGACTTGCCCAGGTCATGTGGCTAATAAATGTCAGGGCTAGGATTCAAATTTCAGTCCCCGAATCCAATTTCTAGTGGTTTAGAGGGAATGTGCTAAAACGGAAGATTACAGGGTACAAAGGCAAACCTGGGGATGGGGAGGGTGTGGCAAAGGTGGTAGAAGGAGAAATACAATAATGATGGAACAGCATCGACCAGCCATAGAATGGAAAGCAGGCTGGATCCTTTCTGGTACCTCAGCTCTGATTCCTGGCTTCTCAGTTGCCCTCCCCAAATAGTCCAGGGCTGAGGGTTATTTCTGACCCTCTCCCACAATAGCATTTACCTATATAGTGTCCTCATTGCTAAGGGTCTGACTAATACGATAAATATGGTAAAAGATTAGTGGCTGAGGACTGAAACTATCTCCCCTCCCTGTTAATATATTTGCATTCCAACAGGAGCCTTCAACACCTTAACCCCAAATCTCTTCACTTCCATTGGATTTAATGACACACTGAAGGAGAGGGGAGTTACTTTTTTATTCATTTAAATTCAGCAAGCATCACTTGAGGGCTTGCTGAGTGAGAGCTACAGTATAGATAGCACTCATCTCATTCCTTAGTGTTTACAAAGCACTTTATAATTGTTGTCTTGTTCATGCTTCACAACAACTCTGAACAGCTACACTACAGGTGGTATTATCATCATTTTACAGCTGAGGAAACTAAGTCTCAGAGAGGCTAGCTGACTTGTTCATGGTCACACAAGCTAGTAAATCTTAGAGTTAAGGATTGGGACTCAGACCTTTCTGAAATATAATACTAACAATAATAATAATAATAATAACATTGATTCCAACATTTATATAGTGCCTACTCTATGCCTGGCACAGCACTAAGCGGTTTACTGATTTTTTTTTCATTTTATTTTCACAATAACCACGGGAGACAGGTACTATTATTTCTCCCTATTTTACAGATAAGGAAATTGAGGCAGGTAGAAGTTAAGTGATTTGCCCAGGGACACACAGCTAGTAAGTGTCTTAGGCTAGATGTGAACACAGGTATTCCTGACTCCAGGGCCAGTTCTCTATCTCCTGGGCACCTGGCCGGTTTCTTTCTTTCTTTTCTTTTCTTTTTTTTTTTTTTTTTTTTTGTTGTTGTTGTTGGCTAGGCAATGGGATTAAGTGACTTGCCCAGGGTCACACAGCTAGTAAGTGTTATGTGCCTGAGGCCGAATTTGAACTCAGGTCCACCTGAATCCCAGGGTCGGTGCTCTATCCACTGCGCCACCTAGCTGCTGCACCACCCAGAAAGAAACACAGGATTTTTCACTCTGAGTGACAGCTTCAAGCCAGAAGGTATGGATATTTTGGGAGAGTCACCTAAGAATCTTTTGTCATTAATTGCATTAGTCTAAATATATTCCCCCAGGGAGAGTTCAGAGTCTTTCACATAATCCAAACTTAGATGTACTTGACACTTCATCTTAAATAAGCCAGCCTATATCTTTCACAGTAAAACACAACTAGTTGCTTTTTTAATTTTACATAGACTCGAAGGGAGGACTGGACACAAATTGCCTCTTTTCCATTTCCAAGGACAGAATGATTTAACCCTATAGATGGCATTATTCTCAGTATAAGAGTGGGGCTACCCTCTTAAGACGTGCCATGTTTCCCTAGGTGATGTATGGTTGAGTGAACAGGTACTGATGACTCCCCTTTCCAATCCCTACCACACTGGGAGGGACATTCCTTGGCTCTCTCTATGGAAGGTGGGCTTTAGACTGTCCTTGTTCTAAATGTTTGTCTTTGCCTGGCCAGGGAGCCATGGAATTCAATCAGCATGTTTCTCTCCTTGAGGATTCAAGGTAACATAATACACATTTCCATTGTTGCCATGGAGCCATTGGTGTGTTTTTTATTCCTATGAGAGCATTTCAGACCTTAGGCTGCTTGCTATATTTAAAGATTGCTCTATTATCTATTGCTGAGCAGGAGGCAGAGGGTACAGTGATTGCGATGTGATTCTTTGTGAAATCAAATCAACAGATTGGAGACACTGATCCAAGTCCAATAAACACCCAGATCACTTGGTCGGGAGTAATTATAGTCTCACAGGTCACTAATTACTTACGAGTCATGAAATAGCACATGGTTCCATCACAAACAAAGGAGAGAGCTAAGGCATGTTCCTTAGAGAAATAGTTGAGTAGAGCCCACCTCTTTTCTATTGTGTGATGTTTTGCTATGTACGACCTTGGGCAAATAACTTAACCTCTCTGGACATCAGTTTCCTCATCTATAAAATCAGCATGCCTGACTAGATGATTTCTGAGATCACTTGTAGCACTAAAGCTGTGATTCTATGACAGCAGATGGTCAGAAACATGACTACGAAGGCCATGGTATTGGGGAGAAGTCTGATGGTGAACTTTCCTAATTTACTATTGGCAGGTCTAAATTGGACTGTGATGTTTACCTTTCTCTTAACAAATTTCCATATGGGTTTCAAGGTCACAAAATCAAAGAATCTCAGAGTTGGAAGGGACCTATTACAATGTATATCTGAATAAGACTCCCCTATAAAGCATGTTTGACGACTAATCAGGCAGCCTCCTGGAGCAACTTACTGGAGCAACCCTCCAGTAGTGGGGTTGACCAGTGACCTCCTAAAATAGCCTATTCCCCATTCGCAGAGCTTTACTTTTCTGCCTTTCTATAATTTTCACCTGTTATTCCTCATTTTTCTCTCTGGGGGCAAGCAGAACAAGCCTAATTTCTTTTCCACAGGTCAACTCTTTAGTTACTTCAAGACAGCTACTATGTCCCTTCTAAGTCCTTTATTATTTAAGGAAAGCAGACTAACTCCTTTTTCATAGGTACTTATGATATAGTGTCCAGTATTCTCCCCACCCAGGTCAATCTCCTCTGGGCTCATTTTCATTTGTCAAGGTTTTTCATCAAATGAGATATTTAGAACTAATGTAATAATACAGATATGGTCTGATCATCCTGCAGAGGACAGTGAGACTACCAGCTCTTGTGTCTGGACCCTGAACCTTTTTTTTTCATTGAGAATTTTTGTAAATACAGAATGATTCATGAATTTGTGTGTCATCCTTGCATAGGTGCCATGGCTAATCTTCTCTTTATCATTCTAATTTTGGTATATGTGCTGCCAAAGTGAGCGTGACCCTGGGCCTTTCTTAAGGCAACCTAAAGCATTAACTTATTTTTTTTGGGGGGGGGGCACTTCCATGTCTAATTATTGGCTCTTATTGAGCTAGTAGTCTACTAAAGGGGTACACCCTATCCTTTTGCAATCAAAGACCTTATAAACATCCCTTTGAGATGAAAACAGGCATTCCTTTAGCACATTTGTTAGCCTTCTAAGGCTGGCTCCGAATGTATCAGTAATTAATCTGTCATCATCATTAATATTATTATTATCATCCTCAATGTGGCTAGAATTTTGTTATGTCATTTCCTCCACCTACATGCCTCTGCCCCTTCTTTTTCTACCTTGTTTCCCTGCTGTTTCCTAAACTAAACCCATATAATTCTACCTCCTAGACCGAGTAAAGGAAGCCCAAGACCAAAACCCTTTCAATTTGCCATGGGAAAGCTATGGCTGTGCTCCCTTTATAGTATGGTGGCAGCAGGCTTGTAAATAATTTATAAAACCCCAATTCCCTTTCTCCCAGTTACTCCAGGTTTAGAGACCAATGCTCCCTTCACTGCTGTGTGTATCCTCCCTCCTCTTCCTCCTCCTCTGTGCTGTGCTTCAAACTAAGTCAGAAAAGTCACCAAGATCACAAACTTTTTAATTAAAAAAATATATATATATTTTAAAAATTAGTCAGTCAATCATAGAATCACAGGTCACAGAATGATGGAGCTGGAAGGGATGTTTGAGAGGATTTGTCTGAGATTTTCATTTTATACTTGAGGAAAATGAGACTAAAAGAGGGGAAGAAATTTTCCATTACATCTCTAATTCATAGAGGCCATGGCATTTTCCAACATGAGAGCACTAGAGTTGGAGTCAGGAAGACATGGATTCAAATCCTGCTTTGAATTTAAGTGCTTTAAGGAAAGCAGACTAACTCCTTTTACATAGGTGCATATGGCATGGTGTCCAGTATCCTCCCTATCCAGGTCAATCTCCTCTGGGCTTGTTTTCATTTGTCAAGGTTTTTATGAGATACTTAGAACTAATGTAATAATACAGATGTGGTCTGATCATCCTGCAGAGGACAGTGAGACTACCCAGCTCTTGTGTCTGGACCCTGAACCTTTTTTTCATTGAGAATTTTTGTAAATATGGAATGATTCATGAATTTGTGTGTCTAGGCACTTACAAATTATGGGACCCTCAGAAAGCCCCTTAATCTCTCTGGACCCTTAGTTTCCTTATATAGAAAACAGAAAGAGTTGTTATAAGGACCAAATGAGATAATGTATGTAAGGTATTTTGTCAACCTTCGAGCCCTATTTAAATGTGAGCTATTATTTATGAACCAGGTCTGCAGACTCCTGGTCAATATTCATCCCCTTTCATCTCATTGACATCATATTTGAGCCCTTGGGGAGGGGAATAAAACACTGGTTTTGGAGATGAAAGACCTAGGTTTAAATCTCAGCACTTTTGCTTACTACCTGTCTGATTTTAGGCTGAACAAAACTTTTGACTGACCTGGGCCTCAGCTGTCTTCTCTGCAAAATGAAGGAGTGTTAGGCTGCGTGCTCTCTATGGTCTCTTCCAGCTTCCAATCCTTTGGTCTCTTTGGTTATCTATGGCACTTTCTTTTTAGTCCTTCCTGGCAAATACATTAGAGGTCGGGTGCACAGACACCTTGAAGCCAGACTGGCACACTCTTAGGTCTTTTAGGTCCTGAGTGACACTCATGGAGAAAAACCATCTATATTGGCTGTTTCACTGACAAGAAAGCTAACAACTGGGTCACCAGGGGAGGGGAGGGAATTGCAATGGGGAGAAGCAGGCATGTGGTCTGTCTTGCACATATACAGAAAGTTGTCACCCTAATGGTGTACAGCTGGAATGTTTGCTGAGATCCCAATCCTTTGCCTTGTCTGCAGACAAACAGAAACATACCCTTTGCCTGTCAAGTGAGAAATTCTCCCGATCAGCCTCCTTCCTTATGCATATAGTACAAGACCAATCCAGAGAATATTAAAAGTTCCTGAATTCCTTTTTTCCAGTGACAGTGAGGCTTAAACCTTTAAAAACCAATATAAATCCTTAGATGCAATTTACTTCTTGCTTTGTAGCTGCTCTCCCTCCCTCCCTCTCTCTCTCTCTCTCTTCAAAACAGACAGCAGAAGCCTCTATTTGCCTCTGACAACATGACCTCCCAATGCATTTTTATCCTTGTGTTTTACTTCTTGTGTCATTGATCAATAGACTGAAATGCCACATCTCTATCACAGCCACACATTTTGATTTCACAAATCGTCCTGGCCCAGTGGTGCTTATCTGTAAGAGCCCTGATGCCCAGAAATGTCATGTCCTCCAGGGGGCCCAATGGACTGTGTCAGGGGGGTAGTTTGCTTGGGTCCTTCCAGCTTTCAGCCCTCTTCCTCCTCCTCTTCCCTTCTCCTCCTTCCCCTCAATCTCCTTCTCTTCCCACTCCTCTCTCCTCTCTCCTCCCTTTTCATCCTCTTCCCCCTCTTCCCATCTCCTTTCCCCTCAACCTTCTCCTCTTCCTCCTCCTTCTCTTCCTTCTTCTCCTCCTCTTCTTCCTCCTTTCCCCTCCTCCTTTTCCCCCTCTTCCCTCCTCCTCCTCTTCTTCTCTCCTCTTCCTCCTCCTCCTCCTCCTCTTACTTCTTCTCCTCTTTCCCCTCCTCTTCCCCTTTTCTTTCTGTTCCTCCACATCACCCTATCTGCTATTGGGATTGTCCTGAAGATGTTTTCAGTGAGTCTACAGGAGATAAGCTTAAATTCCAATACTTTTATTCAACTGCAAAAGTAGTCATTTTATCCACCTGCACAATCATGCTTTGAAAATTAAATATTAAAGAATAACAGTAGCCAAGGTATAGTAGGTAGAGAGCTGATCTGGAAGCCAGGAAGACTTGGGTTCGGGTCCCACCTCTGACATGTGTTTGCTGTGCAACCTTGGAGAAGTAAGTCACCTAACTGTCAGGGCTCTAGCAACTCTCTAAGAAGAGAAGGTGCTGAGAAGGTGCTGACCTCTATCAGGGGAGAGAATTTCCTCACCTAGAAGTTCCTTATACCAATGAATTCACAGGACTAGTCTCTGTTGCTATCCTGTTGTCAGGAAAATGACTTATCTCAGGACTATTTCTCTCTGAACTTCATCAGAAAAGATGAAAATGAGATCATCAAAATGATAATGCCTAACATTTATACAGTGCTTTATGGTTTACAAAGTGTTTTACATGTATTATCTCATTTAATCCTCACGACAACCATGGAAGGTAGGTGCTATTATTTCTCCTGTTTTACAGATAAGGAAACTGAGTTTAAGTTAAGTGACTTGTCCAAGGTCCACATCTCAGAAGTACCTGAAGTACCTGACTCCAAGGACAGCAATCTATCTACAGCACCACTAGTTTACATCATCATCATCAAGTTAAAAAATATATTGCTTTCCCAAATACTCATGATCTACTTAAAATGGAAAGCTTTAAAAGAGACCTGGCCAAAGGGATCAAAATCACATGGGCCCAGGCTGAAGTATGACAGCTATCACTCTTGTTGCTCTGTCTGCTATTGAAGCTGCACTGAGTATGCCTTCAATGAAACCCTAGAAGGGGAACTCACATGCTAATGCTTTTATTCAACTACAAAAGACAGTTATTTTACCCATCCATGCAATAGTGCATTGGATATTGAATATTAACGAATAACAATTGGATATTGACTTGTTTCAAGTCTGTTTCTTTCTGAACCCCATCCAAAAAGATGAGAATGTGATAACAATAACAACTACATATCACATTTTTGTAGTTGTTTGAAGTTTACAAAGCACTTTCCTCAAAACTCTTTGAAGTATGTAGTGAATAAATGAATGAATGATTGAATTAAAAAACATTTATTAAATCCTAAGCACTGTGCTAAGTATTAGAAATACGAGTTGAAAAGTGAGATAGCCTCTGCTTTCAAAAATCTTACATTCTAATGGAGAAAGACCATAAATGTAAGAAGGGTCAGTTGCAGGGTACATGGAAAGGCCCAGGAATCCTAAGCAAGCATCTTCAGGTTTGATGGCACAGTCCAAGGATCCTTAGAGCACATTGGCAGTGGGTGGGTGGGGTGGTATATGGAGATCATAGGGACAGGGAAAATGATGAGGTTCAGTGGGCCAGAGGGTGCAGAGGCAGGGCAGATGGTTAAAACATATAGAGTTTCACCTTATTGGAAAGAATGTAACTAGTAACTCCATGTTCATCCAAGTGGTATGAGACAGCAACCAGATGAGCAGGTTGAGGTGGGGGATAGGGAAAGAAGGGAAGGAGAAGGGAAAGAGGAGGGGGAGAGGGAGGAGGAGAGAGAGCACCTTCTATGGTCTGCTTCCTGTTGAGCTCATTGGATGTTATCAAACTTTATTAACCCTATTTAAAAATATAGAAGCTACGGCCCAGGGAGGTGATGTGATTTGTCCAAGGACTTATAGCTAGTTAAGCTTTGGAGGAAGGAATTAAATGTAAGCCTTCTGACAGCAGTTGATGTTCGGTCATTTTCAGTCATGTCTGACTCTTTGTGACCCTATTTGGAAATTTCTTGGCAACTGTACTGGAGTGGTTTGCCATTTCCTTTTCTGGCTTATTTTACAGATGAGGAAATGGAGGCAAACAGGGTTAAGTGACTTGCCCAGGGCCACACAACTAGTGTCTGAGACTAGATCCAACTCAGGAAGACTCATCTTTCTGACTTCTGGGCAGGCACTCTATCCTCTGCACCAACTAGCTGCTCCTTGGAGAGATTCCTCAAGTCATTGGAAAGCCAAGGAAGAGAATCCCTAAGCCTTCTCAGCTGAAGCTCTCCCCTCATACTTCACTGAAAAAATTAGGGACATTTGATGGGAGCTCCCTCTACTCTCCTCTCCCATCACTCTGACATCTTCATTTATGATATTCTCCTTCATTACACTCTCTGATGAAGAAACCCCTCCATCTTTACCTTGTATCCTATCCCTTTCTATTT